GTGGCCCTGCAAACCTCAGTAGCAGCTCCCAGACCCTGATCCTAAAAGGGGACTCTTTTTTTTTTTCTTCCAAGGACAATAAATATTTGCTCTTTGGGAGACTGCTGGTGGGAGAGCACAGGGTTTGGCTGAATGGCAGGGAATGTCCAGGGCAGTGCAGAGAGGCCACAGGCCCCGCTGGGGAGAGGCTGGGCCTTGTCCATCTGTGCATCTGTCCATCTGGAGCTGGAGCGGCAGGCAGGCCTAGGAGTGGGGGCTCTGGGCAGCACTCTGTGTTTCTTCTGAGCCCTTTTTCTTGGGCGCCCTCATGCACACTGGGCCCTCCGGCCCCAAGCCTCACCCATCGTGGTCCTCACTCCTCAGCTCCGAGCCCACGCAGCCCTCCACTCCTTCTGCTCCGCAGATGCTCTCCACAGATGGAGAGCCCAGGGAGTCTTCTAGTTCACACTCGGACTCTGCCGAAAGAAGGGGTTCAGCGTTCCTGGAAAGACGGAAATTCTGCACGTCCCCCCAGCTGTGCAGGGTCGGGCTGAGGCCCTTCAGGCAGGGCCCTTGGGAAAGGGCAGGACTGTTTCCCTCTTCCATGCTGCCCAGCCTGGCCCAGCTGCCCCTTCCCATCCCCCACCAGCCCTAGTCCCGGCCGGCCCACCCCTCTTTCATGCTGAAATGGGCTCCCAAATATAGCGGCCGTGGCCACAGCCGGCCGGGACACCACAGCCCCAAGCGTCAGTCCTGGGCTGGGATCAGAGGGGCAGGAGCTGATTATAGGTCCCTGGGCCAAACCAGGGCTCGCCTGCCAGCCCTCGAGCCCTGCCACCCCCACCCTCGGAACCACAAGGTTGGAGCATCTGGTCCCCGTCAGCACAGTGAGCAGGGGGGGCCGCCGAGGACAGAATTGTCTGTGTGTGGCGTGGGACAGTGCGGATGGCCTGGGACACAGGGCAGAGGCTGTCCTCTGACCCCGAGTCACAGGAAGCCATCGCTGCCCATGGTACAGGTTGGGGAAACTGAGGCCAGGAGGAAGCGGGACCAGCCTGGGCTGCAAGAGCCCCAGGGAGAGCCCAGGGAGTCTTCTTCCCCCTCAGGCAGTCTTTCCCATCTTTCAAGCCTGGGCTGTGTCTCTGGGAAGCGGGCCACATCCTGTTGGTGGCAGAGCGGCCCTGCTGGGAAGTCCTCGCTGGAGTCAGACTTTCACACGAGGCCTCGGTGGCATGGACGGTCAGCTCCTCCCGGTTCTGCGCCTACCTCAGGCCGCCTCTAGCCAGGATGGCCAGGCGGCCCTCACAACGGCTGGCCTCAGTCAGTCCCCCCATGTGTGCAGCAGGCAGAGTCCCCAGAGCCCCAGGTGGGCATCATGGGCACCCAGCCTGCAGTGCAGGTCGGGTCTCCGTGGACACACATGCATGCGCCTGGTGGGTGAGTGGCAGCAGGACGGTCCCAGGACCTGCCGCATGGCAACATCTGACCTACTTCTAAGGCTCTGGGTCTGGCCCAGGCCGCGTTCTCGACTCCTCCGGGAAGTGTGGGCCTGCAGCCCAGCCCCAGGGCTGTGGGCCAGGAGGGGCGGGCCAGGGCGGGCCGGGCGGCCTGCGGAGCCTGTGGCCGGGCGGGAGCATGTGGGAGTCTGACCCTCCTCCTCCCCTGCTCTGGCTCTGGGGCCCAGGGGACAGCCACCCCCACTGCTCACATACACGTGGCTACCGTGGCCTGAGCTCCCTGGAGGGCTCTGGGCAGTGTGCACACGACTGGGGAGGTCTGCCAGGCACCCACTGCCAAGGCCTGCCAGGAGCTGACCATCCACAGGGCAGCCGGCCATGCCAGCCCGGACAGCCACGGGGCCCTGTCTGCATCTGGGGGTGGGCTGGGTTTGGGTTTACGGCTCTGGAGTTTGAAGTCTGAGTCCTGGGGCTTGGGCCTGGGTCTGGGGCCTGGGTTTAGAATCCTGGGGCCTGGGGTTTGGGGCCTGGGTATGAGGTTTGGGTTTAGTATTCTGGGTTTTGAGTCCTTAGTGTGGAATTTGGGCTTGGACTCTGGGTTCTGGGTTCTGAGTTTGGGGTTCATATTATAAGACCTCAGTCTGGGGTCCAGGTTGGGTTCTGAGTTCCAAGTTTGGAGTCTGGGTTGGAATCCTGAGGTCTGGAGCTTGGGTGTGGGAACCCAAGGCTGGTTCCTATGCTTCCCACAGGGTCACTCTGACCTCTGACCTCTGACCTCTCCACTCCACCAGGGGCGGGGGTGGGGGTGGGAAGAGCAGACCTGGCTGGTGGGTGTGGGGAGGTGGGTGGGGCCTCTGCCATCAGCGGAGCTCCGGCCTGTCACAGCACGACAGCCCCATCTCCCCTCACCCCGCTCCAGGAGGGGCTCTAGCGGGCCTTTGATCCCTCCAGAGAGGAGAGTGATCCGGGAGATGTGAGGCAGCTGCTCATCCTGACGTTTCTTGAGTGCTTGCTGAGTACAGACTGGGGACACAGAACACACATTCTGTTGTGACAGAGGGTGCTCTGGGGGGAGGACGCAGCCACGGGACAGCCTAACAGCTTCACAAAGAAACACTCATTTTAGGGTATGCAGGAATGGGGAGTCAGCAGACAGACAGTGGTCCGGGAAGGCTACTCAGAAAGGTTAATTTCTGAGATCAGGCAGTGACAAGGAGCCATTGGAGGCCAGTATCCCCGGAAGGGTGCTGGAGGGAGGTCACAGCCATGCCCAGGCCTGGGGGGCTGGAAGAACTGCAGTGGAAACTAATGTGGCCAGGACTCTCCTGCCTCAGCCTACAGGGCCTTTGGAAGTTGTGCCCCAAGATGGGCTCCGGAGCACAGCATGAGCGATCGCCACCTGGACATCGTTTCTGGGCTGTGACCCAGCAGGGAGAGCTGTGACCTGTCCTTACTGCCCATGGGGACCCCTGCCTGGGCCCCTCGGTCCTGGTAACAAACCTGCAGGGGGCTGGGTGTCTCAGTTTTTTTGTTTCTCTCTCTTCTTGAGACAGTCTCCTGACGAACTCCTGGCGATCACCCAGCCTCAGTCCCCCCAGTGGTGGGATCAGACGTGCGCCCTCAGCCCAACAACTGTCAAAGGTTTGAGGCGGCCAGCCCCGGGGCTCCGGAGTCTGGCCGCCTTCTGCCTGAAGGGAGGGTCCTGGTGGGCTGAAACAGGAGAGTCCCCACTGCAGGCCACACCTGCCCAGGACGCTGTCACCCTCTGGCCACACACAGGCAGTGAGGGGGCCAGGATGGAGGTCAGGATGCGTCACTCACGTGCCATGTCCCAGCGGTGCTGGGTGTGCTCCCAGGGATGGCGCTCACATGGGGATGAAAGCTCAGGGGCGGCGACTCCTTGGGCTGTCTGTGTCCACCAGGGCCGCTAGTGCTGATGAATGAAAGTGGTTGGGTCACGTCTCAGTGGCTGTGCGGTTGTGGGTCGTCCCCAGTCAGCCATCCTGGGGGTCAGTGGGCCCGGGTGGGGACTGTCCAGAGGCCCCCTGCTGTGCCCCAGGCTGCACCCCCTTTGCAGGCTCCTGGCGGTCCCCATAGATCCCCCACCTCTTTCTCTCAATACTGTTGCCAAACATATGGAAGAAAAGTGAAAAACACCCCCGATGTTGTGAGATTTCCAGATGTGGGGTGTTCTGCCCGCCAGATGAGGCGTGGAGTGTGTGTGGGGGGTGGACAGCTGCCCCCTCAGCGGGCTGAGTGACTGACGGCTGAGAGCGACCTGGGACCCACAGGGTGGTCGTGGGGACCCCGGTGGAGGTGGGGGTCGCAGTCTTCTCAGGCTGGGCTGCAACCCGACTGCCCCAGAACCCCTGGGGTCTAGGTGTGACGGGGCTGCCTCTAAAGCTGCTATTAGAGGCGCGGCCCTTAAAAATAACCGGGAACACCCCACACCCACCCATTACCAGGCGGGCAGGGCTGGACCCCATGTGTGCGCAAGATGCCTCTGCACCCCATGGCTCATACTCCAGCGCCTCGCACCGCCTCAGCCTCCCGCTGCCCTGCAGGGTGGCCCAGGCAGGCTGAGCTGTGTCCCTGCTCTCCAGGATGGGGACCAGGGTGGCTGAAGAGGGCAATGAGCGGCCGGAACGAGGGTGAGCAACCCAGGCCGGCAACAGGGCAAGCCCTGCCCAGCTGTGGGGTCCTCTGAGATGCAGTCTCTCCGGGACCTTTATCTAGGGCTGCAGCTGCCTGCCACGGGCAGACTGTGACACGCAGACACTTACAAGCGCCTGGATACCTCAGTGGCACACGCCTGCAATCTCAGCACTCTGAGAGGCTGAGGCAGGAGGATGGCAAATTGGAGCCCAGCCTGGGCAACTTAGCAAGACCCACTCTCTAGATAAACAAATAAAAATAAAAAGGGCTGGAGAGGTAGCTCAGTGGGAAGGTCCTGGGTTCAGTTCTAGCACTGGGTAAACGAAACCAAACCACCAGACAGAAACACACAGTGGTAGGGCCACAGACACACCCACAGCCTGCACGGACAATGCACACATGCAAGCGCAGATGGCACGCACCGGTGCCCCTGGGCCCTCCATGCACACAGCCGTAGACCTGGGGATGGATGGACACAGGGCGTCCGGGCCAGAGGGGCTGTGTAGCTCAGGTGGTGGGGGTGTCCTGCCCCCCACTGAACATACTTGCCCGCCGACTTCCCGTGTCCAGGCTGCTGACCTACAGCAGAGTCCTTTGTGCAGGTTCGCAAGAGTGTGAGCGTGTGCGTGCACCTAGCACTGGACTCTGCCTGCCCTTACCCCCCTCTCCCCAACAGGTGACTGGGAGGAATGGAGAGCCCTCCCTCCCCCATTCCTGGGCCTGAACAATGCCCTCCCCAGGCCCCAAAATAGCCCCTGTGCCTGCCAATGTCCTTTTATGGCCCTGTCCCTATTGTGCCCAGTGGGGGCGGGCGGGGTCAGGAGGGTCCAGGAGGATAAAGGCCTGGGCAGGGCGCTCATCTACCCTGCTCCCCGCATCCTCTCTGCACGCCCTCTCTTGTGTTTATAGCCCCAATGGCCCCCAAAAAGCCAGAGCCCAAGAAGGAAGAGGCCAAAGCCAAAGCAGCTCCAGCTCCAGCCCCAGCTCCTGCACCTGCGCCTGAACCCGAGCGCCCCAAGGAGGTGGAGTTCGATGCCTCTAAGATCAAGGTCGGCCTGGGGCTGGGCTGGGGTGGGAGAGGCAGAGGGGAGCCCAGGGCGGGCAGCGCAGGGGCAGGTGGGGGAAGTCGTGAGCTGCAGCAGGAGGGTTAGTGTGCAGACCCCAGGTGGGACTGGCCACGCTGGAGGGAGCTGGGCGACTGGGGTCAGAAGGGAAGGTCTTTTTGGTGGCCCTGCAAACTGCCTTTACTCTCCTGGGGCTTCATGTCTCTGGGGAGTCCTGCAGGCCATAACTTGTGCCCCGAGATCCCGGTACCCAGGCAGGCGTCCTCCTTGCCAGGCTGGGATCCCTGTGCATTCCAGCTCCCCTCGGGGCAGCGTGGAGAGCAAGAGGGGGTCCTACCAGCTGGGCCACACTCACCCCCCGCCAAGCTCCCCAAGCTGGAGCTGCTCAAGCCTCCTGGGCCTCAGCCTTTAGGTGGGGAAACAGAGGCACAGGTCAGGGAGGGTGTCTGGAAAGTCGTGCAGGAAGTGAGAGGCGAGACTCTGACCCGGGGCCCCAGGAGCCCTTTCTGGCGGGAAGTTGTCCCCGGCGTCTAAACTTGGAGGCCAAGTGTGACTCCCACCTGTGGCATCCGCATAACAGCACGCCTGGCTCCCGCCCACCGCCTGGCCTGGCTGGCACCCTCTCGCCTGCCCAGTGGGTGGGTCCCCTCTGCCCCTGCATTCTCCCCAGGGCACCTGCCGTGTCCCTGGAGACACAGTTCCTGTCTCAGCCTTGCTCCTGCTGTGAAAGGGCAGCTGGGGGTGCAGGGCAGAGGCACTGAGCTGGCTTGAGGTCCCCCTGCTGCCCCTGCCCTGTGCCCTCCAGACCCCCGGCACAGCTCGGTCCATCTTGCTCCCCGGGTGTCACTGTCTGCTCTCAGCAGGTCTGAGGTGGGCGTGGACTCCTCTCCAAGAGGCAGGGACCCCAGCCTGGCTGGTGAGGGCAGGGACCTTTGCCCGAGTCCCTTCCTGGTGAGGAGAGCTTGGGCTGGGAGTAGTTACCAACCTGTTCCCCCCAACACGAGGAGGGATGGCAGGGTGGAGTTGTCAGGACAGGGGTCCCCAGCCCTGGTGTGCAGGTCGGAGCTGGGTGTGACTCCCAGGGAGCAGCAGAGCGAGAAGGGCCCAGTGTGTCCCCTCTCCCCACGCTCCGTTCCCTGGTGTGACCTTGAACTTTGGAGGGTGACTGCAGCGGTAAAAATAGACTGGCGTCAGGTGAGGAGGGGGACAATGGGCTCCCAGAGGCATCCTGGCTTCCGGGTGCCCTCTGCATACACACGGTGCAGGGCCCATGGTCACAAGTACAGGTAGGGATGTAGGGGGCCTGTGGCCAGCCACGGGGTGTTCTGGGTGGGGTGGACACGCATAGACCTGTCCATGCCACAGCCCTGAGGCAGAGCCCACCTAGAGGCCTTGGGGACATCTCTGTAGAACCAGGACCCTCCTCCTTACCGCCCCCACCATCAGGGTCTGGGGGCACAGACCCAAGGCCTTGGGGTGCGCAGGTGTGCGGGGCGGGAGGAGGCTGCCAGGTGACCAGGGAGGCTGGGAAGGCTGGCCGCCAGGGACCAGGCCCTCAGAGCCTCTGGCCTCTTTCAGATCGAGTTCACACCGGAGCAGATCGAAGGTGAGGGGTCTGAGCCCGGGGCTGCGGGGTCCGGGCAGGGGTCCTGTCCCGGGTCTCCCAGGGGCCTGGGGCTCCCTCGGGTGGTGGCAGCTCTCCCCCTTCTCTCTCAGAGTTCAAAGAGGCCTTCATGCTGTTCGACCGCACGCCCAAGGGCGAGATGAAGATCACGTATGGGCAGTGCGGGGATGTCCTGCGGGCGCTGGGCCAGAACCCCACACAGGCTGAGGTGCTCCGCGTCCTGGGGAAGCCGAAGCAGGAAGGTAGGGCTGCCGCCTGGGGGGCTGGGGGGCGGCCTGGGGCGCTCAGGCCCTGGTGCAGGTCCAGGGAGGCCTCGATGGCAGCTGCCTGGCCCGGGCCGGGAGCGGGAAGACTCGGAACTGCGTGAGGCACAGCCCCCACTGATGGCCCAGGGCGGGCAGCCTGGCCCACCCCGCACCCGGCCTCGGCCCCATCTGCAGAGCTCAACACCAAGATGATGGACTTCGAGACGTTCCTGCCCATGCTGCAGCACATCGCCAAGAACAAGGACACGGGCACCTACGAGGACTTCGTGGAAGGGCTGCGGGTCTTCGACAAGGAGGGCAACGGCACCGTCATGGGCGCCGAGCTGCGCCACGTGCTGGCCACGCTGGGTGAGGCCACCTCCCCCGCCCCAGCCCCGCCACGCCTGGGAGATGCGGGGAGTGACAATCGAGGGCCTCCGTGGTGGGCCACGGAACGTTCTTTAGGTGGAGAATAAAGGAAGCATCGTGGAGCCTGGCGTGGTGGCGCACGCCTGCAATCCCAGTACTCTGGGAGGCCGAGGCAGGAGGATCACAAATTTGAGAGCTACCCAGGTGAATTAGCAACTTGGGGAGATCCTTTCTCAAAGTTAAAAAGATATAAAAAGGGGAGAAAAACTGGTCATTCGGACACTAAGACGCCCAGGCCTCCCTCTTGCCACAAGTCCTCCCAGCCTCAGAAGTGGGTTCATGGCCACAGTCTGGTGAGCAACGCTGGCTAGGGGACCCTGGAGAGCAGTCCCACCCTCTGGAGGGACTCACGGGTCCCCTCCCTGGTGCCCCTCTCTCGGGACGGTGCTGACTCAGCCTCCCGCTCCTGCCAGGTGAGAGGCTGACTGAGGACGAGGTGGAGAAGCTGATGGCGGGGCAGGAGGACTCCAACGGCTGCATCAACTACGAAGGTGGGCTGGGCTGGCTGGGGGCGGGAGCGGGGCCTTGGGCTGGGTGCTCAGGGGCCTCTTACTTCCCCTGCAGCGTTCGTGAAGCACATCATGGCCAGCTGAGTCTGCGGTGAGACTGGGCCCCGCTCAGGGGCTGGGAGCCATGTGGGGACATTGGTTCCACTCACCACGGGACACGGTGGCGGCGGAGCGGCGTGGCGTCGTCTGTGTCCTGTCGGGTCGCGCCGGCCTGGCACTGTGTTCTGTCTCCGCTGTGGGCTCATAAATAAATAAACGACGCTCCCTCGCCTGCCTGCCTGCCTGCCTGCCTGCCTTCCCCCTTCCTTCCTTCCTCCTGGTTACGGGGGATCGAACTCAGGACCTCGTACTTGCCAGGCAGGTGGCAGCACTGCTGTGCTAAATCCTTGGCCCCTTCCTTCCTTCTTTTCTTCCTTTTTTCCTCCCTTCTCCTTCTCCTTCCCTCCCTCCTTCCTCTCAGCTACCCTTTCACTGACCTCTGTCTCTTCCATGGTCCCTGGGTGCCAGGTGGGAGCCGGTGAGCCGGTGGCCTCTGTGTCCCCTACACCCTGCTTCTGCCCGGCCTCCCGCTGTGACTCAGGGGTGCCACTGAGAGCACGGTCTGGATGAGCAGGGGACCCCAAGCCCGACCCCAGCCCTGTGTCCCAGCCAGGCCAGCTGAGCTGGGGTAGGGAGTGGCCCTGCCTGAGTCACGTGGGTGCAGGTGGCAAGGCAGGAGGGCCCTCTGTCCCCAGCGGTGGGAGTCAGATGGGGACACTGAGGCTGTCTGCCTGTGGGTGCTCTAGACCAGAGGCAGTGGCCTCGAGGGGTGGCCTCCTGTGCTTCACAGCAGAAGGCGTCTCTGACCCCTCAGTGAAGAGACAGAGCACCCCGCAGACCTCCATCGCCACCCTCACACCCAGGGCTTTGAGGCCCAGTGAAGAGCAGTCAGGAGGCTTCCTGGAGGAGCGGGGCCACTCGGTGTGTGTGTGTGTGTGTGTGTGTGTGTGTGTGTGTGTGTGTGGAGGGGGAAGAGCCACGCCAGGCAGGAGACGGCCGCGGGGTGCAGTTGGGAGCCCCCCGAGGCTGGGCAGCCCCTCTCATTTCCACAGCCTTACCTGTGTACAAGCTCATGGGCTTGTGTGGTGGGGACACAGGTGTGCAAGAGCTGACTCCAGGGCCTTCATGGGGGACCTGTGTGTGTGTGCTGGGCACAGGTGTCTGCCGGGGTTTCTGCAGCACCCCCTGCAGGCCCTGCTGGGTGGGGTGTTGGGAGCACTGCGGGAGCACATGCAGCCAGACCCAGGCCAGGCCTGCTGAGAGCAAGGAGGGCTGGCGTGGCGAGTGGCCGGGCTGGGCGTGTGTGAGTGTGTGTGGCCGTCTGACGGTAACCATGGACAAAGATGTAAAGGACAGGATTAATAGCCATTGTATAGAAAGAACCCCTACCAAGCAACACCACCCAGGCAACTGATTAAAATGGGCCGAGGAATAAACAGGTCGGTGAAGAGGACGCACGGATGGCCGAGGAGACCGCAGCGCGGCTGGTGCTCGGCGATCTTCAGGGTGAGGCACAGCAGAGCCACAGGGAGACGCCCAGCAGACAGGAAGGGGCAAGTGTTGGTGCGGGTGTGGAGAAATTGGAGCCCAGTGCCCTGTTTTGGGAATGGAAACAGTGCAGTCACCGAGGAAAACAGGACGCTGGGCAGCAGAGCATGAAATATAGAATTACCTGTGACCGAGCCGTTCCGATTCTGAGCATGAACCCAAAAGGGTGGAAAGCAGGATCTCAAGCCGATATCTGCACACGGTATTACAGCAGCATGGCTCACACCAGCCAAACGGAGGAAACAGCCCAGATGTGTGAGGGTGATTGAGCAGGCACGCAGAGTGTAGCATACACGTGGCAGAATATTACTCAGCCTGAAAAGGAGCGGCGAGAGCTGACAGGGCTACCAGGGCGCACTTGCACAGGCCTGAGTGGCCCTGGGGTTTTCCTTTATCTTCCTCCTCCTCCTTCTTTTTTGAGACAGGGTCTCCCTGTGTAGCCCATGCTGGCCTCAGACTATGGCAATCCTCCTGCCTCTGCCTCCCAAGTGCTGGGATTACAGCCCCCCCCCAGCTACATCCTCACTTCTTACAGACTCCCTGCTTCTGGGTGCTGCCGCCTCACCTGACCCAGCTCAAGGATGGAAGGAGCATCCCGTGAATCCTGCGTGACACCCTGTAGCCCGCACCCCCAGTCTTCGTGTGTAGACCAGGACGGGACAGGCCAGGTGTGGTGTCTCGCTTGGGCAGCCTGGGTCCCCTGCTGAGGCTCAGCTCCACTGAGAATTGTGTCTGGAGTGGTGGGGCGCATGCCTATAATCCCAGCCCTTAGGAGGCTGAGGCAGGAGGACAGCCACGAATTCGAGGCCAGTTAGGGAGACACTGTCTCGACCCCCCAAAAGGGTGTCTGTCCCTGCCGTGGCCAAGGCACCACTCTGAGCGAGTGTGCGTGTGTGTGTGTGTGTGTGTGTGTGTGTGTGTGTGTGTGTGTGCTGGGCTGCGCTGAGTCAGCGCCGTGCTGGGCGGGCGGCACTGCCAGCCGCCTGTCGCCTCCCACAGTTGCGTAAACAGTGGTCCTGCTCCCCTCGAGCAGGGTGGTCCGGCAGAGGCACTGCCAGCCGCCTGTCGCCTCCCACAGTTGCGTAAACAGTGGTCCTGCTCCCCTCGAGCAGGGTGGTCCGGCAGGAAGGGAAGGGGGTTTGCCTCCCCTCCATTCCCTGTCCCCCCCAAGAGCTCACTAAGGTGACTGGCACGGCCGCCCCTTCTGGTGTAGGCAGAGCCGGGCTGGCAGAGTGCAGCCTGGGGACCCCAGGCAGGGCCACAGTCACCCCAAAGAGGCTCAGGACACAGTGGGCAAAGATGCTCCAGGGGACTCGCAGCTTTAGGGCAGAGGTTCAGGGTCTTGAACTGGAACCCAGAAGACGGAATCATGGGAGCTGGGCCGGGACGGGACTGGAACACATCGTCCCCGCCGTGGCTGATGTTCTGCAGGGCCACCCAAGGCTCCTGGCTGCCTGCCACTTCCTGTGTCCTCTCCTCCATGCGCCAGCTTCCCCTGGGACACGAGGGTCAGGTCACGTGCGATGGGGCACAGGGAGGGCAGAGATGGAGCCCAAAGAAATCAGGCGGGGGCTTTAAGTCAGGCAGTGGGCGGAAACTTTATCAGGCTGCTAGAAGGAAGGAAATCGGGCAGCGGGGGTCAAAGCACCCGAGACAGAGGGCTCTAAGGGAGCTGATGGAAGCCTGAGGGGAAATCGGTGTGGAGTAAAATGATCTGCCAGACACAGGAACGTATGAAGCCATTCAAGCACCTACCCATCAGTCTGCCCATCTGTCCACCTATGCAGCATCTGTCTATCCGTCCGTCCATCCATCCAGGATCCCAGGAGATCACCGTGCGTCCAAGGCTAACTTGAGCTACGTAGTAAGACCCTGCCTCAAACAAACTCAACAGCAACAGACAACAAAAACCTAAAAACAAAGAAAAAAAAAACTGGAGGAGGGAGAAGGGGCGAGAGGGAGTGAGTGTACAGCAGCCTGACAGGCAGCCCCTCGGTCGCGCAGGGATCTCGGGTGGTAGAAAGGGCTGCGGTGGGGCCAGGGTGGGCTTTCCCGGGGACAGGGCCAGTCCCCTCAGGGGACAGCAGCAGACCCAGGCCTTGAACTTGCGGCCCCCATAGAAGCAGCTGCCCGGAGCTCTCCTAAGACCCTCCCACCCAGGTTTGGGGTTACTTGTTCCCTTCCCTCCTGAAGCCACACCATCAGCTGCAGTGTGGTGTGTGTGTGAGCACAGCCCAGGGGTCCCCCTCACACGTCCCCCGAGGCCACAAAGACAAGGGGCAGTCTGAACCTTTCTGGGGGGCTGGTGGGGTGGGGACTCCAGAGATGAAATGATGCGCCCTGGGACAACTGAGGTCTTGTCTTCCAGCGTCCTGGCTTTTATTGTTTAGAGATAGAGATATTTAGCCCAGGCTGGCCTCAAACTTGAGGGGATCCTCCTGCCTCAGCCTCCCACTTGCTGGGATTGTAGGTATGCACCACACCCAGTGCTGCCTGGTTTTTATACTTTGATCCAACTGAGCACTGCCTTGTTCTCACCACTCTTGTGCCTGGGGCTGGGAGCCTCTGTCTTCCCTCCTTGTGCCCTCTGTCATCTGCCCCCAGTCCTGGTCTCTTTCCCTTCCTCCCATGAAATCATAGAAGCCATTGAAAGTTTCCCTGGAATGACACCCCCAGCTCCTGAGCCATGGGAGGTGGTGAGCTCTTTGTCCTGTGAGGTGTGCAAGCCCGGGGGTCCTGTCCTAGTTGGAAGGCTGCCAAAGGGCACCTTGCTCTCGTGGTAACTGGAAGCACCTGGGTGTTCCTAAGTGCCAACACTCGACTGTCACGGTTCCCGGGAAATTCTTCACGCACAGAGGTCCCATGTGTGTCCCAATCCATGCATCTTGAAGTCCTGTCTTTCCTCCAACAGCACAGCTGGCCTACACTGTTCTTTTTTTTTGGTACTGGGGATCGAACTCCGGTCCTTGTGCTTGTGAGGCAGGTGGCGGAACCACTGAGCTAAATCCCCCGCCCCTACATTTTTCTTTTTTATACAGCAATGGTGATGGTAGTTGGTAGCTTGTTCCTGTCCACATCTTTATTTTTTAATTAATTAATTTTATTGGTATATTTAAGGTATTAGGTATTTCTGCATCTTTACTTGGCAAAATAAGAACTTAAGTCAGTTTTAAATTTTGTGAAAGTTTGGATAGAGACTGCTCGGCATCAAATTAGCCATCCATCCATCTTCCCATCTGTCCACTCAGCCACTCACCCACCCACCCATCAGTTTGTCCATCTGTCCACCTATGCAGCAACTATCTATCCATCCATCTATCCATCTACCCACCAACCCATCCATCCACCAGTCCATCCTTTTATCCACCCATCCATCCATTTTCCCACCCACCCTCCATCCCATCCATCCACCCACCCACCCATCCACCCACCCATTCACCCACCCATTCACCCATCCATCCACCCACCCATTCACCCATCCACCCATCCATCATCTTCCCATCCATCCATCTGCCATCCATCCATCCTCCCACTCACCCACCCATCCATCCACCCATCCATCTTCCCATCCACCCATCCATCCTGCCCATTCATCCTTCTGTCCATCTATCCATCCGTCTGTCCTGTAGTTACCTGTTGCCTACTGTGCTCCACTACAACGACTAACAGAAGCCTGGCCCTGCCAG